AGAGGGAAGCCGAGTGCAGGCCATACTCGGATGTTCTTCCCGGATGAAGGTCAGACACTCGCGTTTGGCACTCCTCCTCAGGAGGAAGGCCGAGCGCAGACCATACCCGGATGTTCTTCCCGGATGAAGGTCAGACACTCGCGCTTGGCGCTCCTCCTCAGGAGGAAGGCCGAGCGCAGACCATGCCCGGATGTTCTTCCCGGATGGAGGTCGAAGACTCGCGCTCGGCGCTCCTCCTTGGGGAGGGAAGTCAAGCGCAGGCCGTACCCGGATGTTCTTCCTGGATGGAGGTCAAACACTCGTGCTCGGCGCTCCTCTTTGGGGAGGGAAGTCAAGCGCAGGCCATACCCGGATGTTTTTCCCGAATGAAGGTCAAACATTCGCGCTCGACGCTCCTCCCTGAGAGGGAAGCCGAGTGCAGACCATACCCGGATGTTCTTCCGGGACGAAGGTCAAAGACTCGTGCTCGGCGCTCCTCCTCAGGAGGAAGGTCGAGCGCAGACCATACCCGGATGTTCTTCCCGGATGGAGGTCAAACACTCGCGCTTGGAGCTCCTCTTTGGGGAGGGAAGTCAAGCGCAGGCCATACCCGGATGTTCTTCCCGGATGAAGGTCAAACATTCGCGCTCGACGCTCCTCCCTGAGAGGGAAGCCGAGTGCAGGCCATACTCAGATGTTCTTCCCGGATGAAGGTCAGACACTCGCGCTCGGCGCTCCTCCTCGGGGAGGGAAGCTAAGCGCATGCCATACCCGGATGTTCTTCCCGGATGAAGGTCAAACACTCGCGCTCGGCTCCGTACTCTTCAAGAGGATGGACGAGCGTAGGCCATACCCGGATGTTCTTCCCGGATGAAGGTCAACACTCGCGCTCGGCTTCGTCCTCCTCAAGAGGATGGACGAGCATAGACATACCCAGATGTTCTTCTCGGGTGAAGGTCAATGCTCGCGCTCGGCTCTGGCCTCCTCAAAAGGATGGACGAGCATAGGCCATACCTGGATTTTCTTCCTGGATGAAGGTCAACACTCGCGCTCGGCTCTGTCCTCCTCAAGAGGAAAAGGGGAAATACATGGCGCACACGCCTTACAAGAGTTAAAACATAGAAACGCATAATCTTAGTACCGCTTGCCGCAATTCCACTAGTAGTTGCATGGGCACGACGGAGGGTAGGAAGAAGGTGAAGCAGCTCCACTGATGAAGGAATGGCCGGTGGACTCGCCGATGCAAGGCGAGCCTGGGTCTTCGTTGGGTTGATGGCTTGGATGATGGGCTGCCACCTTGCTTGGGAAGGCGAAACGTCACCACTTGTCCACCGATCAACACGCGGGCCCATCCGCCACCCCATCCACAGTGTTTCTACTCTCGCGCGTTCCATTGCCAGCTGCCAAGGAACCCGGAGAGTGGGGGGCTTCTGATGGGGAATAACCCCACACCAGCCTAGGGCTGACATCAGCATAAATTTCCTAAGTGTCGGACTTGGACGTTCCTGCCCAGCCCAGAGCTCCGCTCGTCCTTCCTGCCCGGCTCTGCGCTCCGCTCGTCCGTCCTGCTCGGCTCGGCCATCCAAGCCGAGCCCGAACCCCGCGACAACGACGTGCGGAAAGCGACGTTCAACGAAGACTTGGTGAAAGCGATAGGATGAAAGGGACAAGACGTAAGGACATGTGACGTCCACTAGACGACGGGAATCGATTAGAGAGCTTTGACTTAGCTTATTTTACCCCCGATAAAAGGGGTGTCACCCCTCATTGTAATGGACCCGATTTTTGAAATCAATATACTCCTACTTTGCATTCTCTCTCTCTCTAAAACTTATATTATATCATACTCTCGGTGGTTTATAGCCATCAGGATCCAGACCGGATATCACCCACCCGACAAATCATTGTTCGGTTGGTACGTAACCACATGACCCATAGGGTGGATTATCGATTCTTGTGTTCTGCATTAAACTATTTATAGTTTAAGGGCCTGGTTAGAAATGTTGCCTTAGACTAGGAATAGCTAAGAGCTTGTTATAAAATGATTTGGCCTTAGATTAAGAATAATTTAAGAGCATGGTTGAGATATTGAGTATCGAATGACTTGGAATAAAATATTGAGAATATCATGAATGTTTGAATCATATATTGTGTGCATGATATCAAATGGTTGATTATGAATTGAGATTCAATTTATTTGGATGTTCGACGCTTTAGATATGCTTACTCAGCTTCATCGCTGAGCGTGTAGTATGTTTTATTTGCTACACGCAGGTAGACAGAATGAGTGAATGGCATGTTCTTGGCAGCGGAAGGGGCGAGANCATTAAGAGCTAGTATATTGCTTAACTATTCAGAGGCAAATGTCTGATCAATTCAGATAACAGCTCTTAACCATTCAGACTCTGTATAATACTTAACCATTCAGAGGCAAATCTCTTAACCATTCAGACATCTGAACCATTAAGAGGCTGAAACAAACAGTCTGAACCATTAAGTGCTGAATCATTCAGACATCTGAACCATTAAGAGGCTGAAACAAACAGCCCCTAAGGAATGCTTCACTCTTCAGAAGGAGATGCAGCGACTCATCGCCCGAGGCCCGGCTCCGCGAGACAATGGAGCAGCCTCTTCCCGGGGCCCACTGGAAAGGAAAACGTGGAGGAAGCCGACCGAGCCGGTCGCGGTGGCCACGCAAGCGAGGAACCCCGAGAAGAGGCACATTGGGCGAGAGTGTGATGATCTAGACGAGGACGAAGCCCAAGGATATCCGGTGGGGTTCATCCATGGAGGAAAAATCGGCGGGGATTCCGCCGCTCAAAGGAAGAAGTGGAAGCACATGGCCTTCGTCGCCAAGGTCCAACAGGCGCCGGCGCCCAAGCTCGGAAGACGAGAGCAAATCCAATTCACAGAAAAGGATCTTCCGAACACGCCGAGCCCCCACCGGGATGCCTTAGTCGTGAGGATAGAAATCAACAACGCTATAGTGCACCGCACCTTGGTGGACACGGGAAGCTCGGTCAACATAATGTATGAGAAGACTTTTCAAGACCTCAGCTTGGACCGCAAGGACTTAAGGCCCCTGCGCACTCCTCTCTCCGGGTTCACAGGGGACTCCATCGAGGCCGAAGGAGTCATCACCGTGCCCGTGATAGTAGGGGATGGTGCGCACAAGGCCAAGTTGAAGATGGAGTTCATGGTTGTGAGCATCAGCTGCGCGCACAACATGATCTTAGGACGGCCCGGCCTCGAGGACTTGGAATGTGTGATCTCCCCATACTACTTGTGCATGAAGTTCCCCACTCCTTCGGGAATCAGGGTGGCGAGGGGAGACCAAAATTTAGCTCGACCGTGCTATGTCCGAATCACAAAGAAGTTGCCGAGGGATGAGACGTTGGTCGTGCACGCACAAGAAGAAATGCGGAAGCTGGAAGCACGACCGAAGGCCAAGCCCGCTGAGGAGGTCGAGGAGGTGCTGCTCGACCCTCGGAGCAAGCTCTTTGCACCCGTCCTCGGGAAGAGCATGGAAGCGTACATCGACGACATGATTGTGAAGAGCAAGCAGGCGACCACCCATGCGGAAGACTTAGAGGGAGTTTTCAAGATTATGGAGAAGTACAACCTTCGGCTGAATCCGAAGAAGTGCACGTTCGGAGTTCAAGGCGGCAAATTCTTGGGAGATATGGTGAGCAGGCGCGGTATTGAGCCCAACCCTGAGAAGGTGCGCGCCATCCTTGACATGGAAGCTCCACGAAATGTCAAGGAGGTGCAGCGCTTGACCGGTAAGTTGGCTGCACTCAGTCGCTTCCTTTCCAAGGTAGCGGACCGAACCGCTCCGTTCTTCCGAGCTGTGAAGAAGTCCCGAGGGTTCGTGTGGACGAAAGAATGCCAACAATCCTTTGAATCCCTCAAGTCCTACCTCCTCTCTCCTCCGGTTCTCGCGAAGCCCGAAGCGGGGGAGACGTTGTACTTATACGTGGGTGTTTCACCCAAAGCTTTGAGCTCGGTCCTAGTCCGAGACAAAGGTGGAGCTCAGCACCCGGTGTATTATACGGCGAAGACGTTGAGGGGTGCTGAGCTCAGATACTCAGTAGCCGAAAAGACGGTCCTCGCCGTGGAGGAAGGTCGAGCGCAGACCATACCCGGATGTTCTTCCTGGACGAAGATCAAACACTCGTGCTCGGCGCTCCTCCTCAGGAGGAAGGTCGAGCGCAGACCATACCCGGATGTTCTTCCCGGACGAAGGTCAAACACTCGTGCTCGGCGCTCCTCCTCAGGAGGAAGGTCGAGCGCAGACCATACCCGGATGTTCTTCCCGGACGAAGGTCAAACACTCGTGCTCGGCGCTCCTCTTCAAGAGGAAGGCCGAGCGCGGACCATACCCGGATGCTTCCCGGATGAAGGTCAGACACTCGCGTTTGGCACTCCTCCTCGGGAGGAAGGCCGAGCGCAGACCATACCCGGATGTTCTCCCCGGACGAAGGTCAAACACTCGTGCTCGGCGCTCCTCCTGAGGAGGAAGGTCGAGCGCAGACCATACCTGGATGTTCTTCCCGGATGAAGGTCAGACACTCGCGTTTGGCACTCCTCCTTGGGGAGGGAAGTCAAGCGCAAGCCATACCCGGATGTTCTTCCCGGATGGAGGTCAAACACTCGTGCTCGGCGCTCCTCTTTGGGGAGGGAAGTCAAGCGCAGGCCATACCCGGATGTTCTTCCCGGATGAAGGTAAAACATTCGCGCTCGACGCTCCTCCCTGAGAGGGAAGCCGAGTGCAGGCCATACTCGGATGTTCTTCCCGGATGAAGGTCAGACACTCGCGCTTGGCGCTCCTCCTCAGGAGGAAGGCCGAGCGCAGACCAT